CTCTGCATCTCTGTTATACCCCCCCAACGCCCCCACACACCCCTTTCTCACTACCCTGCATCTCCGTTATGCCCCCCCCATTCATTTCTCCAACATTCTGTATTTCCCCCTCTTTCTCACCCCCCCATACCTCTACCTCCTCCTCCCCCCTACTCGTCCCCCTCCCCTTCCCCAGCTCATGTTGGTAAAAATATCTGCAGACAGCAGGAGCAGAGGCACGCCTGACTCTCTCTCTCTCTCAGACATCCCACCCATGTGATCTCACAGGCTGCCTCTGCTCTGCTCCACTCCGCTCCAGTCAGGCTCCTGCCTTTCTGCTGGCTGCAGCTAATGAGCCTTTGTGTGGCCAAAGAGAGAGAGAGAGAAGAGAGAAGAGAGAGAGAGAGAGGGAGAGAGAGGAACACAGTGACAGACAGGGAGTTAAAGTGAGAAAGACTGCCGTCTTGCAACAATAAAGCATATGGTACCGACAGTGCAGTCAGAGCTGGAAAATTACAAGTCTCTCTCACACTCCTGCACCCTTTTTTCTCATGCCCGTGGAGCTCAGGGGTCGCTGCAAGTCAGTGGACTGAAACAAAATGGGACCCTCTTCATTCATCATGTTTCACCTTTTTTTGAATTGCCACATTTATGATTGTGTGGCTGTGCTGCTGTGAGAAGAGGTGAAAGGAGTCAGTCTTGCCAGTGGATACAGGTCAGTTGTTCCTGTGAGGGCCGACACACACAGAGAAGTGCAGTCTGGTCATTGTAGGACTGATGTGTCATGACTCGCTCCAGATGCCATAGGCTTCTTGGCATCACTTGGGATGAGTGTTTTGAGCCTTGTGTTGTCACATCGATTCACTGTGATTGTGGGAACCTTGTGAATGACGAGGGAGAAAAATAATTGTATTCACAATGTGAGTGTGCTACAGTGCTGTGAGCGCTGTTGATTAAGGAGAAGAAGAGTTGGTTTCCACAGTTGATGTGTGTGCACAGAGAGGCAAACACAGGGAGGGGCTTTCCAAGCTGGCTTTTGCTGCATTATTTTCTCTGGGATTTTCTCCCTTGTACTATAGTATATGCTGCCCAGCCATGATTAGTGGTAAGGCACAGTGAAGACAAAGAAGGAGCTATTGGAGAGGAGCAACAATCTCTGGATTTTATTTAGCCATGATGAAAGAGGTTCACCCTAGATTACCCACAGCTTTGTGCCTAATGATGTCATGCCCACCCGGTGTCAAGATTTTAACTTTTAATGCTGTCATAACTGAATGCAAATGAACTAGTTATGCATTAATCCGAGAAAGGAACTGTGATAAATGTATAATATTGGCGTTTAAGTATGAAGAACCCTTATATAGGCTACAGTATGTAACACTGGAAACACTGTTATATGAGAAAGCACTAGTTAAGACAGTACATTAGAATCTCCATGGAAACCATTTTTGGCATCAAAGCCTAGTGCAGCATAAGCTGAGGGCTAAGCATACAAATAGGTTTCCAACAATGGTACCTAATTAGGACCCTCACTAGGAGATGGACTAAAATTGCACAGGTCGTTTCTGGTGGAAATTTCCACTCCTGGTTGGCAGTTTCTGTTTATCAACATTTTGATTTTCACAAGACTACTTTAATATATTTCAGGATTAGTTCATTAGCTAGTGCCATTATGTCTTGCCATCATTCAGGAGAGAGAAAGTAGATTGATGGTTTCTTGTCAGCCTGCTCTGTTATTGGCTTTCCAGAATCCAAAATAACTCTTGCTGAGGATGCAGCCTCTTACAGATTTCGCTTCCAAATGAATAATGTTATTTTTGAAAAGAAGTCTTTTCATTGAGGTTACCCTGACAGAGTCCTTTCTCCTCCTCTCTCTCCCAGATGGAGGATGCCTCACATTCCTTAGTTGTAGGTAGAGTTGTTGACTCTGGAGGTTCTCCAAATGCTGGCGGTGCCATGTCACCGCACTGAACAAGCACAGCCTCCTGGGAACAATGACCCTCTTGCTGGCAGCCCTAGTCCTCTCTGGGTTGCACCTCTTTTTCTCAGGCAGCATGTCTCTCAGGCAGCATTTGCATCTGTAATGACTCGATAGCAGAGCCCAGATGAAAAACTGTGGCTGTCTGTGAATGGAACTCCCCCACAAGCTGCTCTGGCAGATAGACAGAGTGGGACTGGGTGAAGATGCATGCTGTCTTTACTGATTCCAGTTTCCAAGAAAGAAAGCAGTGAGGGGAAAGCTGCCAGTCATAGCAGTCCTTGCTGTGCTACAGCAGCACTGTTGTGTTATTGGGTTTATTTTGAAATGTGGCATAATGTTCCAGCTGCTGCTGTTAAAACAAGGAACACAGGGCTCTTCAGCTAAATACATTAAATGACTAAATTATCAACAATGTCTGATGTTATGAATAGTGATTAAGACTAAATAAGTCATTTAATGTTTACAATCCATTACACATTGGAGAATAATGGCAGGGTATAATTCAAAGGGAAAAAGCTGCAATCAAAATAATATATTGTTTGACAGTTATAATGCAGTAGTTATTATAGCCAGTTCCAGTGTACTGCTGATTAGTTTTAGTGTAGTTGTTGACTGATGAGCTTGTTCTTGTTTATTTGTCTAATTGCATCATTAGTCAGAGGGAGTTAATGGCCCCTCTCAATTGACATTGAAGTGGTCTGTAACACTTATGTTACAACAGCCTCCGTATGAAGTGCAGTAACCAAAAACATTTAGCTGCACCTACATAGTTATCACTGAAAGGTCTGTAGCAGCAATATAATTATATGATTGGTCCATTTTTGCTATTATATGTACAGTGTTTTATGATTATTGACCTTGCCTTTTGTAGCAGATCATAAGGTACAATATAGCACATCACAGTATAGATCTTTTAATCTGCTCTGCGGCGACTGTAGCTGCATTCACCTGAGGCCTTTCTTTTTCTTTTTCTTCTGTAGGAAGCATCTGACCTAACAGAAGCTTATTACAGACGCACAGGAAATCACTCTTTATGCAGTCAAGAAAGGCTTCACCTATTCCTCCTCTAGCGCTGCATGATGTGTGATTTACAGAATGTACAAATCACTTTGTGTAGTGCAGATTGTTGCCTCACTTCCATAGTTAAATGGAAATGCACACGTTTCTACATAAACATCACACCAATACAACTTACGTCGGAATTTGTTGCATTATTATTTTTAGAAAAAGATTTTTTCCCTGTAAGATGCAATGTAATAGATTTTAAGCCAGTTTTATGCTTTCTAAATGTAGCAGCAATTAAATGCTATCACATAAAATTGTACATACTGCATGTATATTGTACATAATTTCACCATGCCCAGTAGCAATGCAAGACAAGTAGGTCCAGTCTCTTTTTTTTCTCCAGCCTCTCAATCAAAAACAGTGAAATGAACTTCCTGTAAGGCAGACGTAGTATGTAATTAGCAGCTTTCTCCTTCCATCTCAGCTCCTTTGTGCCAAGGTGATCAATCGCCCAGGGAATGCCTGGGAGCTGGGATAGCGGCAGGAGAGAAGGGAGGAGGGGGGGAGTCTGGGTCTCATTGCTAATTGAGTGTATTGAGGATTATGAAGGCCTTAAACTGGATATTAAATAATGTGTGGCCCCTCTGCTGTCTTTCGGTTTCAGGTGCAGATGCGGCGGGCCATGAGTGGAATACTGAAGAGGAAATTTGAGGAGGTGGAAGCCTCCTCCTCCCCGTGCTCTTCCTTGCGGGAGTCCGATGATGAAGTCTCCTGCAGTGAGAGCGGGGATAGCAGTGACAGTGTCAACCCCTCCGCCTCAGGCCCTTTCACCCGTGAGTGCCTGTGTCTTTTAAATTCATCCATTGTGCTCAGTGTGGCTAACCTGTGCTATTGACAGAAAGATTAATGTCATCATTTCATCTCAAGAAAAAACAAAGCTAAAGCACTGAAAGGGATTTTTAATCAAGATGGGAATAAAATTCAGAGACGGCCTGATTTTGTAGCTCAGAATCAATGCAGGATGCAGGTCAAAGAAAACAGATCCGCATGTCTGCTGATAAGGGAGTGTAATATGAATTTACAGTTATAGCTGTCCGGAGGAAAGGAGCAGAGTGGAGAGAAGAGAGGAGGAGAGGAGGCTGAGTGGTTCTAAGAGTGTAGTGCTGTAATAAAGGAGAAGGATATACAGCCTCCCTCATTAGGAACAGCCTCAGTGTGCAGGCCCAGCCAGATGAATGAGCTGATGCAGCCTCAAGCTGTCTGTGTGCAACACTGTTGATACTGTACATGTTAATGTACCATTCTCTAAGAACACTAAATTATTGTCTTAGTTATCTGCTTATATAAATCCTATTTTGGATGAAATTGCCTTTTTTTGAGGAGGGGACAGTATCTTTGTATGTATAATAAAGGTGTTGCATAAAGAAAAAAGAAAAGCAAATGAACACTCAAAATTAGACTTGATGAATGGTGGGTAATTCTTAGTGCTGCAAAACTATTATTTTCATTATTGGTAGATATGCAGATTATTGTCAATTAATTGTTTGGTCTATGAAATGTCTGTACTGGTGAAAAATGCCTGTTACAATTTCCTTAAGCCTGAGGTGGCATCTTTAAATGTCTTGTTTGGTCTGACCAACAGTCCAAACCCCAAATATATTCAGTTTGCAATAATTTAAAATGGAAAAAAAGCAATATTCATATTTAAGAAGATGAAACCATCAAAAGCACTTTGCTTGAAAAATAACTTAATTACTGCAAAAAAACAAAAACTTCAGATGGAAATTAGCATGTATGGCTAAATCTGGCACATTTACATGATTTTCTGTCAATGAGTAATTGAGTACGTTTACTAAAATGGAGCAACAACTGCAGATGAACAAAGCTAGTTTTGGTTTACAAAGATTAGGTCACAGCTAGGCTTTTTAATATACAAATGCTTCAGGTCCGCTACTGAGTTCTGGACAACACATCAGCTTGAACTGACTTTGTATTAAAGAATTCAGTCTTAGTAGAAATAAACCAACCAGAGAAGACATGTCTCCTCTGCGGGTTCAAAAGGACACTGAAGTCATAACTAATAAATAACACAGTGCACAAGTGAATCCTAATGTCTGAGAGACAAGACAGAATGTGAGTGAAATAGATAATACAGTTGTAGTTTATTAATCCTTTTGGGGGATTATGAAAGCAGCAGATACTTGATGCCAAAAAATCTTAATAATTCAATTCTTAAAGAACAAAAGAAAGGAGTCACAATTTAGTCTAGTTTTAATTCGAGGCAACACTAAACGTGTGTTTTGATGATTTTTTTTTTATCTGTGTGAATGACACGCAGATGGATGACAGGGCCCCCTCCCTGTAGCGAGACATAAGTAGGGTGCTGCATCCCTTGAGGCTGAGCTTGGCCTCTGTGTCAGCTGCAGCTGCTGGTAGCTAACAGCAACGAGGGAGCAGTGCAATATGAATACTTCTTTCCTGTGAAGTGACATGTGAATGTACAGTGATTGACTGTCTGGGCAGAGAGATGAAACAATTAAGTCCTAAGTGGTTTAACATCCTATGCTCTTGTGTTAGGAGAGGAGGAAAAACATCTGTAATCTATTTGGGTTTTATTTAGTGTCTGAGAAAGAGCCAGGGTTGAAACTGGGACTGATAATAGCTTGCAAAACGGTGAAAAATACCTGTGAGGTGTTTTTTTCTTATAGGCAGTAATATAGACACTATCAAAATAAACGCTGATTACATAGACCTCAACATCTGTCTACTGTTTTGACACCAAAAATGAGCTGATAGCTGTTTGCGTTTCATAATGAAGGCTGGCTCTGCTCGGCACCCTCAGTCTGACAGCTCTACATCTGTAATGAAATGCATTGTCCCTCTTGCGTGGGGTGGAGAGCTGTTGGAACCAGATGGTTTCTATTTGTCCTGTCTGTCTGATATGGGGTGAACGCTGGGAACACTGCTTCTGTGAACCAGCGCTCTTCATCTCTGGGCCAGGCAGGGGATTATTTATGCTCCACCGTTGCCCTCCTCTCTGCCCCTCCCTGTTGTAGAGCTCCCCTTAAAAAGACACACCGATGACTCGCATGCCGAGCGAAAGCAAAGAGATGTGATGAAATCCTTCCCTACAAAGCTTTCCTAAGATATGTATAAGCGTGCTGTAAAGCCAGGCAGAAAGAATTCCTCATATTTCAGGCATTTAAGGACAATACTCTCAGCCTGTCTGTGTCCCACATTTTGCCATAAAAATGTCAGTTATCTTAACAGGCTTTACATGGCTATAAAACTGTTCTTCTCCAACATGAAAGAACTATAAATGATAAAAGAAATCAACTGTGCTGAAAGTGTTCTTGACACAGTGATACGCAGTGTGGAGCTTTAATTCTTTCCACATCGGATTAATGAATTGTCAAAAACAGTTTACTACCAAGATGACATGTGGTATCATATGATGTACCATTTTTTTTTTACATTCCCATTTTCCTTTGCAGCTGACTCAATATTGAAGAGAGAGAAGCGCCTGCGGACAAGGAGGGTGCACTTTGAGAATGTGACAGTGTACTACTTCAGCCGGCGGCAGGGATTCACCAGCGTGCCCAGCCAGGGAGGCAGCACGCTGGGCATGTCCAACAGGCACAGCTGGATCAGGCAGTACTCCCTGGGTGAATTTGCCCTGGAGCAGGAGCGGATCCACAGAGACATGCTCAGGGATCACCTGAAGGAGGAGAAACTCAACTCAATCAAACTCAAGGTAAATGCTTTGGAAAGCTAAATATTTCTGTACAAAGGATTTGATTCAGCAGATATCCGTATCAAATATGTGAAGAATTTGAAAGGAATTTGGTCTGAAAGATTCTTTGTTTGAAACACAGCTTAGTGATGAGTCTTTCACTCTTTTTTCCCTTGTTTTTTTTTTATAACATAGCTTGGATGTGATTCCTTCTTGTTTTCAGCTGACCAAGAATGGCACAGTGGAGTCTGAAGAGGCCAACACGCTCACGGCCGAGGACATCTCTGATGATGATATCGATCTGGACAACACAGAGGTAGACGAGTACTTCTTCCTACAGCCTCTTACCACCAAAAAGCGCCGGGCACTGCTGCGCTCCTCTGGGGTAAAGAAGATTGACGTGGAAGAGAAACACGAACTGCGGGCCATCCGGATGTCCAGAGAGGACTGTGGCTGTGATTGCCGAGTGTTCTGTGACCCGGAAACCTGTGCCTGCAGCATCGCAGGGATCAAGTGCCAGGTAAATCACCGTGACAGGCATATCTTTCGGTTTCATTATCATATTAAACAGGTCATTTGTTTGTTTTGAAATAAAATGAATAGCGCAGTTAAAGGTTTTGCTTTCCTTAGGTGGACCGGATGTCATTTCCATGTGGCTGCACAAAAGAGGGCTGCAGCAATTCAACTGGAAGAGTGGAGTTTAATCCCATCCGTGTTCGGACCCATTTCTTGCACACCATAATGAAACTCGAACTGGAGAAGAGTCGTGAGCAGCAGCAGGCGTCGCCCAACAACGGTTACCGTGGTGAAACCAACGACCTGGGAAGCGGAAACCCTCTAGTTCAGTCTCAGCACAGGTTGGAATACTCTCTGTCAGACGCTGTTCCACAGACGGCCAGCATGCATCTGCAGGCCGCGGACGAGATGGATGAGCCACTAGATGACGAAGAGGACGAAGAAGACGAAGACGACGATGATGAGGAGGAGGAGGAGGAGGAGAATGAAGAAGACGAGGAGGACGAGGAGGACAGTAGCAGCGTTTGCAGCGGACTGTCTGACTCCAGCACCCAGAGCTTAGCTAACAGCGACTCTGAGGACGAGGATGACGATGATGAAGAGAAGTCTGAGAACTTTACAGACGATATGACAACCCCGTCGGTGTCTCACACTGAGGTTGTCCCCTTGTCTTCTGTGCTGTGTTACAGCGATGGCTCTGTGGGGCATGATAACCACATGAACGGAAACACTTATTTAATGAATTCTTCTTCGGCTGAGTACTATCAGCTGGGGAGTTCCAGTGCCGTCTCTAATGGCCAAACCAGCCAACCCAGTAAACCCTACGGGGAAGCCTTAGCGTTCCAAGATCCAGTCAGCACGACCAACGGCAGCGCAGCCCAAGGGCCATTCAACATGTCTGCCGAGCAGTACACAGACTACTCGAATCAGGCCGAGGACCAATACACAGCCAATCACCATTTCACTCTGACCAACAGTGCTCCAGCCACCCCCTTGACCTGCTACACACCTGATCAGGAGAAGAAGGTGTTGTCCAAAGCAGGGTTTGTGGAGCAGTCTGACAACCAGAACCAGACACAGTTTCAAAACTACCTGAACAATAACAATCAGGGTTCCTACAGCAGCCACAGCTCGTGTCTGACAGCTGAACAGCCACAGCAAGAGTCCAACGGACACTCTGACCTGACCTTACTAGCAAACAATACTAAGAACCTTCCTTTACCTGACCATTGCCCCGAGGTCACAGCCATTTAGTGGGCCTCACCTTTTGAAGTGTTCTTTCATTATTACGTCTTAACTTGACCAAGTGGCATTTTAAGGGAACATAATCATGGCCTTTTCGCATTATCTTACATTAAATTTCAAAGCAATTTACAGCACCGTAGTACATTCTCATCTGTAACTATAAAGCCATAGGTTCATGATGAAAATGTTTCCAAGGAATGATTCACTCTCGGTGGTTTCCTGAAGGCTTTCTCTATAACAGCGTGCTCCTTCACTGCAAAATGGAACAGATCAAAAAACATAAGTTATGTTATGCTGTGCAATGTATCTTGTAATTTCAGATGTAAAGTTCTAGTTTTAAGCAGATATTGTACTGTAGATGGAACTTTTCTATGTCTACTGTATGTGTCAAATGTGCAAAAAAGGTTTATTGTCAGTTTATTTATTGTTTCTGAATTACGTGTATACTTATATATTGTAAATGTTTTGATAACAATACGCATGCTGTTTTTGGGGAATCTCAGTAACGTTTAGGGAAAAAAATGCCATTGTTTTATATAAAAATGTGTTGTATACATAGTGTACATTCTCTTCTTGTTTTTGTCACTATTATATGCTTTTCTATGGTTTTGAAAAGCATGAAAAAGCCTGAATTCTTATTTGTATGTTTGGAATACAATATCAATAGCATAAAATGTCAGAAATCAATTCACAGCCTTTTGCACTTAAAGTGTGGGGGCCCAGTGGCATGCAGTTGGTTTTAACTGATTTATACTTGAACGGTGGAAAAATATGGCCCCTCACATATTCTTTTCTCCACTGTTCATGTTTATAATAATGTAATTTGCAGGTGCCACTACAAATGAAGATTTATTCTTAGAAGCGTTTCACAGATACAGGGATATTAATAAAGTAGCACTTTGACATATCTCCAAAAGTATTAGAAGCTCTATGATTCATCATAGACAATAGATCACTAACTGTATCATTAAATTACTATAATAGGCTTCATTTGAAAGCCATCAGTAACCAGTCTCCGTAAAAATGCTGGAGACAAAATATTGATTCAAAATAATGTGTCAGCATTTAATAAATTATCTGGTTGCTGGATTTCTGTTATTGAATGTTGTATAAGCTAGATTCCACTGTCTAATCACTCAGATGTTTATTTATGTGGATCCAAGAATGATGTCAATTTGTTGTTTAGTGCAATAGTTTGAGGGTTTTTAATTCCCTTCTAGAGAAAATCCTCAGTAAAGTGGACTGAGATTACTTTCAACTGACTGTCACGGTACTTAATATTGTACTTAAAGCAACATTAGTTTAATAAAAATATGCCACAGTTTTAATAATTGTATATGGAGGAAACAAATGTCCAAGGTTGACAATCAAAGCTTATTATTATCAAACCTGATTCATATCAGTAATTAAAAGCTACACAATATGACTCCTGAGTCCAATGAGCCATTGAGAGTGACATAACAGGATTCTATGATTTTTTTTTACCAAAAGATCTGTAAATAACCTTTTAACACACCTTTATAAAATCACTGACAAAAAGGAAATTGGAGTGACCGCTCAACAATTGGGGAACTGCAATAATTTAGTAAATAGTATGGGTTGACTATAATAGGTTGCTGAAATTCTTTACCTTGAGCTCTTTGCTCCTGCATGAGTACAAATATCTGCCCATATTTTATAATCAAAAGCGTCAGCACTGGAGTTCTTTGTGACCGCCGAGTAGCTGGGACCTTTCATGTCACCTCTGTGGTACAAAAGAAGTGTACAGACAGCTTTTAGGCAATCAGTGGCATCAACATGGCCTATAGTAGATATTTGCTGTGCCAAAGCATACAGTGGAAGGAGGCTAGATACAATGACATTGCATCCAGTTAAGAATCTTGTGTTCGATTTTATTTTCCAGTATTTATTATGAATGATATATTGAAATGTGTATTTATTGTGGTTTACTAAAAGTCTGTATTGAGTAAATTGCTTCACTATCTTAAAATTGACTTTCGTTTCATGCTGGTTGTGAGTTGTAAAGCTTCATGTGCCTGATTTATTTTATTCTCTTTCTTATTTTGTGAAATGCATATGTTTTGCACAAAATGGTACAAATTTTTTCAATGTGTTTCATTTTTCCAACTGTAGATAGAGCTGACTTCATTTTCAGTTGTTTCATTTTTAACATGCTTTTGAAATAAATTTAATTAAAATTGCTAAAAATGTTAAGTCAACCTTGTACAGTTCAGTAATTTCTTAGTGCAAAGCGCCCTCTGCAGACCAAAAGGGAGAAATTAGACAAAGTGGCTCTTAATACCATCCAACTGAATTTATTTTACCTAAAAATAACACCTCTTAATACCAAGGATTTCTGACAGCAATAGACAGTTTCCATTTTAGACAAACATACACATTTGAACTGTTCCTCATCCAGTCTCAAACGTAAAGTAATTTACAGTATTCCACAGCCATCTAAACACTAGTGCCCGCACCAGAAATTCATTAGTGGACTCCTGGTTAGATGTAGAGGGAGAGTTTCAGGCATTTGATCAACAAATAGTTACTCCGGTGCATTCCTGTTATATTAAAAGTTCCCCTTTGATAAACACCAAAGCATGACAAGTGAAATAATATCCCACAGGTAAACACCGCCGCAATTACAAAGAGTCAGTCATGACGTTGGACTGCATGCATGTTCAATAAAACATTGACTGTAGGTCAAATAAAATGCCTTTTAATCAATAATGTCAATTTCACTTTTGTCATGAACAAACTAATTGTATGTAATTTAAGTTTAAGGGCCAGCTCACCAGCAGGTCCAAACTGGTATTCAAATTATTGTTCTTCATGTCTCTACACTCAGTTGCCTGTATATAAGGTACATCTAACTAAAACTAATATGGTTTAATACAACAGTCCTCCTTCGTCATTATAATTATTATAATTATATAATTAATGATTAAAATATCCAGTTTCTGCTGTTGTGTTGTATTTTGTTGCAGTGGAGGTGTTAACTACAAAACAAAAAAAAACTACAGCCTTATAAATGCCCATCAAGTTGAATCAACACCTCTCTAAAAGGGGTCCAAACAAAAACTCAACATTATAACCTTCATGAAGGTAGGATTTACTGCAGGACTGTTGGATTAGACTGCATTAACTTTAGCTCGGTGCACCTAATAAACTGACAACCAAGTGTATTGAAATAAAATATTTTAAAAGTTTTAAAACAAAAAAGAAATGACCCCATTAAATAATTTAATTAAAGCAGATCCACTTGATCTGAAGACCCTTTCGATCACAACTATGTAGAATCCATTATTCTGCATCAGAAAACTGCAACGACCTCACCACCCCATCCCTCCACCACTCCACCCACCCAGTAGAAAATTACATCTAAGGCATTGGACGGTAGCAAAAAAAGAGGTTTTGCATTATTAAAAAGGAAAAATGCCCATCATACTTGTGTGTTTTAGGTTTTCACTTTGAGTCTCTTTGGTGCATGAACATTTGAGATTTGTGTGTGTCCAACTTAAACCTCTCATTTATAATGATCGACTGTCTTTTTTGTTGTTGTATGATTTTGTTTTAGATTCACGTCTCACTAAAAAAAAATGTTCAGTGTTTGCTTTATGTACCTAATACTGCATGTGTTGGTTGTGAAGACTTGGAGTAGTGAAAACACCTCAAACACAAGGGAGGCACTTGGAAACAGTGCATCTTCATTATTCCAAAAATCTCAGTTCACAGTCTGATTGGGAGCATTGTTCCAATGCTTCCTTCCAGCAGTGGCATTCTGTGGTTTCTCCCAAAGTCAAACTTCACAGCAGCAGCAGTTCAGTTTTTCTACGTATAAAAATAAATTAAAACTCATTGTCATTAATCTAAAACAAAACAAACTGCATGTTAACTACATACAGTATAGTATACTCATTTCCTAGTATGCCTATGCATACAGAGTGGCTATTTTGTAACGCGGTAGTTTGAAAAACTCAGACGAAGGACCAGAGCTGGTATCTGTCAGAGGGGTTGCAGGGGGCCAGAGTAGGATGGTCGTGCCGGGCGCTCAGACACAGGTTCCGTCCAGGGTTGTAGAATAACTGGTTCTGTATGAAGAGAAGATAAAAAAAACTATGATTCTTCTGAAAAGAAAACCCAAGTATCTGAAATCACAAATGAGTGCCCATAAAAAGCAAAAGACCAAACTCACGTCCTTCAGTTCCCATTTCTGCTCCGCTCCTACAAATGTGTTCCTGCCTTTATACTGGCAGTCCTCCAGCTTCACAGGCCCCTCTGCCCCGTGCAAACATAGCTCCTTCTGAATGTTGTGTCTAATCTCGTGATGTGTGGAGTACTCGAAATACTACAGCAAAGGAGAGAGAGAAAAAAAGGCACAGTCAACCACTGTGATTAAAGAGAATCATTTTTGTTAATCAGAGATAGGAGGCACACTTTCTAACTGACCTGGTTTCCTCCTAGTCCATGACATGGGTACATGATCAGCTGTTTCCCACCCTCATTGTTTTCTCCAGCATCCAGACAGGAGTCTTTGCCGACATTTTTCACCTACAGAGAAAGAGGAGGGAAGGGGAAAGTAGTGAAAGGAAACAAAATGAAAAACTAACATCCAGTGCAAGCTGTTCAAACAACTTTAGTCTCTGGAGTGCTTTCAGTGGTGTCAAATTGGAACTGCTCAGTGCCCTCTGGAGATCCTAAGTGGAAACCCACAGTGGCTAGACAGAGCTCTGAGGTTTGGAAAGAGGAGAGCTGGTGGTGGGGTTTGTGATCTTACTGAGCCAAAGCGGAGTGGGTTGAGATCAGGCATGAAGACTTCTGGATAAACGTTCTTCAAATACCACGAGAAGCTCTTGCACTGCAGCCGCGCACGGAGGTCCACACGTTTGGAGATATCTCCAAAGGCCCTCTGTTAAAATAATGTCAGGCAGAAGAGCAAAGCATTGTTCGTCAGCACACTGCATACTGGATAATTATGTAGTACTACAAAGTAATGATGCTCTTGACTTCAGATAGAACAAGCAGGTATAGAAAAATGTCACTTAGGAAAAAGGTGCAAAAGAAGGAGTGTTTTGAATAATGTGAATCTGGAAGTGCAGTTTATGTGTTGAAAAAGGTAAACGCAATTGCCATCCAGACTGAAATGCAAGAACCATGGAGTGCTCAGAGTGTGTAAGAATACAAGCAAATAAAAACAAAAAAGGCTGTACTAAAGCACAGCGATTTTTAGGGTTGATGTCAGCAAGCTAACATGCTCTCAAGGCTGATGCTAAGAACATATAAAGTTGTCCAAGTTCATCATCTTAGTTTAATTTCCTAATAAGCTTTTAACTCAAAGTACAGCTGAGGCCAGTGGGGAGGTCATTAGTTTTGCAGGTATTTGATTATAAACCGAAGTACTAGACAAGGTAAATTTGACCTCATAGTGGCACAACAAGAAAAGCCAAGAGATAACCAAAGTTATTACAGTTCATCCTAAGGGGTTGGTGTGATGGCTGCACTAAATTTAATGGCAACCCATCCATTAGCTGTTGATAAATTTCAATAAAAAACAAAAATGTCAACTTAATAGAAAAGTCAGGGGATCGCCAAAGTCATTGGGATTCATCTTCTGGGCTCCATGACCATCTGTACCAAATTTCATGTCATCCAACAGTTGAAATATTTCAGTCTGGACCAATATGGTGGACAGACTGCCTACACTGCCATTAGTAGAGCCACACTCTGAACTGTCATCTAATGACAGGAATAAAATATGGCTGCATTGCAAAAAACAAAGACCTCAAAGAAAATAAGAGTCGAATGCTAAGCGCGGAAGACTTTTTTTAATTTATTTTTTTTTAACTTTGAATATCATCACCATTTTACTTTATAAAGTCAATGACTGTGTTCCAGTGCTCTAATGACTCCTTTGCTGAACAAATAAACTAAACACAAGTATTTGATCATGGTTCCTCATAAACTGAAGCGCAGTCATGCTCTTGAATAATGAGAGCACTTACTATAATGACGAATGTGCCGCTCACACTAGTGCACACTGAGAGCTACTACGGCGGATTCCTTGAAGCTGTTGACGACGGTGTGTCTGTTTGAAGCCAGCGCAAAAGGGCTGGCCCGCTCTGTGAGGTATAGCCCTGAGGGAACTGTTTATGGCACATACGGGACCACATGTTGGGAAACGCTGAGAGCCTGTCATTTACCAGAGCTGACTTCCTTCAGGCCCCTTTTTCCTCTGTCGCTTAACAGCCTCTAACAGCCCCTAATCTATTTCACTCCATTTCAAAGAATGGGTTTTCATTTCTATAGTAATTCATGCATTGAGAATTACAACAGTGAAATGCTATGCTTTCCCCTGGAGAGTATGTTAAGTAAGTCATAATCAGACTTAATGCTGGTTGAATGTAATTCACAGACAGCAGTTGGATTTGCTCAAACTTGTCTTGGCGGGCGGGGGGGTAATAAGTAACCTCAAAAACCACTTACATATAACCATGAGAAGCAGAAGTGAAAGACAAAGCTGCAGAGCAATTTGCTGCATTTGAAAAGGATCACAGGATTGACGCACAGGATGTCAGAGGCGCATTAGAGCCAGGAGCAGTACGTACATCTTTTGCCAACTGCGCGGCTTGCAGGTTACGACGGTAAAAGATCTCTTTGTAGTCGTCCATCCAGACCTCCGCTAGTCGCACCTGGTTACGAGCAATCACTTGTGTACCCTTGGGAAAGGTGTGGGGGCTCTTGGTGCGGAAAACATGACCAACAATGGAGCAAGGGATGATCTCCAGCTGTCCGCCGCACTGCCACACCTGCAGGTTAATGGGAGACAGCGTAAAACAGATGCACAATGACATGCAGTTAACACGCCTATGCAGCGGTTTGGATAATGGAATGATTCAACAGGTGAAACGGGTCAATGACGAATAACAAAACTGCTGCACCTTCAGAATGACAGCTTAGTGACGTCTTACCCTAAATGACATTTCGATGTTCTCACCACCCCAGATCTCCATTTCTTCGTCATAGCTTCCAATATGGTAGAAATAATCCTTTGAGATGGAGAAGAGCCCACCAGCAAATGTGGGAGTCCTATAGAGAAATTACAATGAAAAGTTTTTTTTATGATTTCCAACGAGAAACAAGAGTTTATTCACATTCTATAAATCAAGCATTACTTGATAGGGTATGTTTCATCCTTCCTCCTTTGTTTCTCATGATCTGGTAGACTCTCCCAGCCAAAGGAAAGGCTCCAGTCAAAGTTTCCCCGGTTGTGGTTCTGGCCATATGGGGATGGTTTCATGAACTCAAAAGTATTGAGATCAATCGTGGTTATATCAGGACTCACTACTGCAGTATAGTTCTCTGCTATCCTGGCAAGCAGAGGCTCCAGCCATCCATTGAAGCATTCGCCTGTCAACAGACACAATTACATTGTATCACACGCAGACATTACATCACAACATCTTTCTTAACAATGACCACTGAATGGTTAATTTTGGAATGTAAAGCCCTGCTGAGGCTTTAAAGAAAAGCAAACATTAGGTTGCTGAACTGTGGGTGTGTCGGTACGGGTGTGTCAAACATGCAACTGATTTTAATCTGTGATTAATGTCAGTGGTGTTGACTAACAGTGGGCGTCCAGAAAGGTGAGCGTGTCACCGGTGGCAACGGAGGCCCCCAGCAGCCGAGCGGTGATGAGCCCTTTCCTTTCGCGCTGGCGGACAACACGGACAATGTTCAGCTGCTTCAAATACTCATCCAGCTCGTCCTTCAACACATCTGAAAGTATGGGATGTCCATTAGACACATTATGAAAACATCTGATAAAAATAATATACGAGTGATTCTTGTCTCATAAGGACTCAATTATTACTAAAGTGATAAATAGATAATATTAACAGGCCTCAGCCTGGAAGGTAAGACTTAAGCAGATGAAAAAGAAGAAAGCTGTATTCCATTTATCTTCAACATGGCTGGCTCTCAGGAGAGCTGTTGTACAGCAGGCCTCCATCTGTGGCCTGCTACCAACAAATAACTTTTTTGTTTCAGGATCAGATGGACTGCATTGTCTGAAACCTCTCTCTCCTCTCCAGCATTATGTTTTCTGATGAGGAAATCAGACCTATTTACAAGAGTTAGCGCTGATTCAGTTCTAAGCACAACCACTGCTGACTCCTCCTAGGAAAGTATTCACTAGCAGCCCCTTCACTTCCTGTTGTAACCCACTTCATGGGCCACAGACGGAGCAGGAGCAGCTCCTCTCTGAGCTGCCCACCCAACATGCTGCATGAAATCGAACCCAAAAGAGAGCAGGGCGGTCCTGAAGGGCCCTTTTGAATTTTACCATCCACGCTGGCATCGTCCACCAGGATGATCTCCTTGAGGAGAATAGCAGGGGAGGTGTGGAGGACACTGTATACTGTCCTCAGCAGAGTGCTCCAAGCCTCATTGTGAAACACAATTATCACACTGGTGGTCGGCAAGGGGGGACATCGCTTGAAGGTTTTCTCAATACATCTGTAGCAAGAAGGAAAAAGAGCACAAAGATCTGACTGTCCTATACAGTTCCTGAGTGGCACAATAGCGTAGTTATTACATCTGCAGACTCTCCCTTGTGGGGTGTCCATTTCAGCTGTGACACCGCATGTGTGGCAGCCTTTGAAATACCTGCCATAGCAGAGTGGGAGAGACTCTGCAATTCACCCCAGTAAGATGGCCAGTACATGCGCTGGGGCTTTATGTCTGTGTCACGTACTGACTATGTACTGACATTAACTTGGACTCACATGCAGTTGGATGTACTGTAATTAGCCAAACATAACTGAGCTTCTCCCTGAACTGGCCACAGTAACTGGGCAGGCATGCTGAAACAATGTCCCAAGTCAGAACAATCATCTCTGTGGTTTCTGTCTTAGATCAGTTGCAAAAAGCCAATATGATGAATGTGTGTGTGGGTTAGAATCAGTGTCAGTTTTGCATTACCCCATTTATATTACACTAACTATCTGTGTGGGTGTTTTTCAGTGTGTGACTTTAAGTTATATTCGGTGCCAGTACATATATGCATGGAGCAGTAATAAGGAAAGTGGAGTACTTTTTGTACAGCACTAAAGCTGCATTTGTATCCACTAGGTGGGGCAATTACATGTTGTTCCTACATCAAAATCCTTTGGAAAATGAATTGAGTGAATTTGGTCAACTATGTTCACTAATACCATGCTACTCTTCTTGCACACTTTCAGTGAAAAATAAGGTAAACTTGAGGAACAGCTTTAACAGAAGCATAAAGATGGTAGAAACTGACATACTCTGGCGGTCTTGTGTCTGCGCCCAGGTCTCTGCTCAAGGAGACACGATCACTGGCATACAGGTTAAAGCAGTGTTTCTCTTCACCCCTCTCCTTCTCCTTCTGCTCTTCGGGGCTCAGTGAGTCCGTGTGGAAAGGTTTTCCAGCTGCTCCAGGAGCCAGGGGGTTCTGAGGTGGCCGCTCCAGAGCTGGCCTGAGCTCAGCTGCAGTGTAGTGGCCTGGCAGACAGGACACGCCATCTGCACTGTCCTGCTTACGTACAGGGGCTTTGATCTGCATCTTTGGCATCGCATCCCTGAAGTTATTGACAGCTCCCATCACCATGCCCAGCATGGTGTCCCGCTTCACTGCCATCTCCTTCAGCCACGGGTCCTCCTGCTGGCTTTGGCTTCCCACTTCCCATTGCATGAAGAACACAAATGTGACAAAGACAAGGGCCACTATCGCCAATTTAAGTGGGTGCAGTCGCCTTCGGAGCACTCTGCGGAGAGATGCCATTCTTCTTGAATGGAGAGCAGGCTGACTTTAGACGGGGATTCAGCTGTAACAAACACACGTATGCTTAATGATGATTAACCAGCAGTCATGTAATTATCAGAATTAAAAGATATTAAGGATTCAGAAAAAAACACAGACAACACAGAGACATGTCACTAACCTAACATCTTTGTACTTAAAGTTTTTTTTACTTTTTGTGTTTTAAACAAAATAAATCTGGTGTGTGTGTGTGTGTAGCAGTTTTTATGGAAGTCAAGTCTGCTCCTATTTACAAATCACATATTGCAAATCTGTTTTTCAAATCAGCAAACAAGCACAGCTCTGGATTCACTCAGAGAAGAAAAAGACCACGTACCATGAGTCGCTGAACGACAGATTTAGGTTAGAAAAGCACTCTAAATTGTTCTTGTAATATCCACCGAATGGCATCCTGCTTCGACTGGAGATTCTGTGTGCTCGCTTGAACTCCGAAGAAACTTTTCGCAGACAAAAAGATTTGATCTGCCTTGGCTAAACTTCCGTCTCGTTGGATCCAGGTGCGCTCCTCTCAGGTAGAGGGAGGAGACGGGCTGGCGCGCTTGCGCAGAAAGGACTTCTGCGTGTCAAAATCCATTCCATGCCTGGATTACAGGTGAGATAAAGCAAGCGTTAACGAAAGACGACCCCGACTAAACAAGTGTGTCAAGACTTGTAGCTTAACTTATGTTCTAATAATAAATGAAAAAAACATAATTAGCCAAAATCAAAATGTAATCTAACATTTCTAGAGACAATACCTCCTAAAAAAATTGCGCTAAAGTGGTCTGAAGCCACTTTGTGCTCAGGAATATTGCAGACTGTGTTCTCTACGGAGTCCCTCAGATTCAATAATGGTGTCATTAATAGGATTTGTTCAACTGGTCAGTCACTGGGACAGTTGCTGGGTTACAAATAACGGAGGAACGCGCTATGCCCCACACAGTCCACCGCATCCAATCAGCTCCTCCGACAAAAAACATCTTAAAACTGAACGCAAAGCACTTTCTGAGGAACTAACAACCCACACGGTCCAGCGTGCCTTGTTACGGGTCCTTTCGCATGGACGCGGATCTGCCTTGATAATTAATCACATCTGAGCTTTCGTTGGTAAAAGTTGTAAAAAGCTGACACTCACCGGCGGACTCTGCAGTTGATCAAAATCCTTGAATCTCCCAGGTCCCCCCCCCGCACCCCCCCCTCCTCTCAGCGGATGGTCTTCATAAAGAGTTGGATGCTTGAAGGAGTAAAGACGCGGATTCCAGCCGCAGGGAGCCTGCTCTGGTGCCCAGTTTGAAGTCTTTCTGCCTTTGACTTGCACAGTGACTCCATCTGTAGTGACTGTGTTCCCCGGCACTTCCTATCCACGGCAGGCATCCAGTTTATTATGTCCATTAAAATGTTCACTGTCCGTCCTACATTTTTTCCCCAGTCAAGCTCGTAAATGTTTGTCTATGTGGCAGTTGTGTTTGGGGATATTGATGATGTCAAATGTCTTAATCAGGGA